AGGAAACGGCCAAGGGCATCGCTGACGCGGCCATGTTGGAGGTGGCCAGTATTTCAGTTGGCCACATGGTCCGTGAGCTGCAGAAAAGAACTGTTAATGTCAACAAGTCTTTACCTTCTTATCAGTAAACACTGGCTTTTGTTGTGCAGGAACCTGATGAATTCTATGAAGGAATTACATTCGAACACTTCCTCAAGGTAGGAAACTGAAACTTAACCTGTTTTTGGTCTGAAAGGCCTGGAGTTTGAGTTTAAACTAAAGTCTTTGTTTGTTTGTTTTTTTGTTTTTTTGTACAGCTGCTGAAGGGCTTTGAAATTGAGTCGCGGATGAACATTCGCTTTCTGAACATGGACACATCGACCCTGTGTAAGTGAGTTCTGTTCCACTCTGGAGTCACTTTAATCCCTATGTTTCACTGACTTTGTGTCCGACTGTTAGATTATCTACGCACCTAAAAAAAAAAAAAAGGTTTTGTTTGAAGTTATTGAATTCTAAGCGATGATAAATATATATGCACAAATGCAAATGTGTTTCATATATATATATATATAACTGCAGCAATAATCAATAATGTATGTCTGGAGTCACGTCCACGTGTGATGCAATACAATCAATACATGATTCACGTTTGGTCTGATATTAAAAAACGCACATGATGCCATTTGCACATTAAAGGAGTGAAACAAGTCTGATTCCCACCTTTTTTTTTTTTTTTTTGCTCCTGTGGGTGGAAAAAAAAAAGGAAATGGGAGTGTTGTCACGCAACATTCAAGTCCTCGAGTGCAGAGTCAGATCAGAGTGAAAGAGTCAAAGTCAGAGTTAATTTAACCCACGCTGTTTCTACAGGAGCTGAGACTAAAGCACTTGAACTTTAATTCAGTGTCTCCTGTGGTTGGTGTACACTGCCATCTACAGGCGTAAGCGAATAAAACTTAAACTGCGGTAGTTCATTTGAATGAAGTGTCAGCGTTTTTTGAATTAATGGTTCATTGATTATATTTGTAACAAACTGTTTGAGATGTGTCCAGGTCGGCTGTACTACTACAGTACACAAAGACCAAATACTACTTCACATATACTTGGAATTTGTTTTTGTTTTTTGTTTTGTTTTTGGGGTTTTTTTGGCTAAAAATTCACAGAACATTAATGAACTAATAATTAATCAAATCTCAAGAGTTTATTGTTTTCTCCATTTTTTTTTGCAGTTTTTCTTTTTTCATTTTCAAGTATTTGAAGAAACTTCAGGTCAGCAGCAGCAGCTACTTCTCATAAACATTATTTTCCTGCCTCCTTTGGGAGTAATTTAGGGACTCTTAGTCAGAATGTGGTTTTGAACCCCGTCTGTGTCATGGGGGGGGGGGGCAGGGGGGCTCCTATGGTGAGAGAAAAAGCCCCATCACCCCCTACTGGCCGTACAGGTCCATTGACCTGGATGGTTTTGGTTTTTTTGTCAATTATTAGTCATTTATATTTGACATTTCCTTTAAATACTGAGTTAAAACAAACATTAAACCAAGTGAGTTCATAGTGAACGACTGCACCTGCCTTTTTGACACTGCTGCAAATTCTAAGACTCTGAGTAACTTTGTTGCATGAGGTCATTTCATGACTCAGCGTTTTGAAAGCGCGCTGTGATTCATCTAATGCTCAACACCTGGAGCTGGAAACTTCGTTCTTCCTCCACTTGACGATCTAGGCCGAACTGTTAGTCTGTGAGTCGCGTTTTAAGGCTGGGACCAGGTTAAAACCCGGTTCGATCCACGAATGGTTCCTGGGCCAGATTTTGGACACACCTTCCTTGTTCAGTCTGTGACTGTTCTGGCTCTGAAATGTGGGGAAACGACCGAGGAGGAAGTGGCCGATGGCTGATTTATAAACTGTTAAAAAATCACAAATCTTTCTTCACGTTGTCTCTGCTTTCACCGTGTGGACGCACCTTTTTAGTGATATCATTATTTTTCACGAATTATCCCTTTAATATTTGAATTTAATTATGTTGTATGATGTGGTGGGATTGTATTTTATTGTATATTAAAAATGAACACAGCAGTTTAAAAACATATATATATATATGTATATGTATATATATGTATATGTATATATATATATATATATATGTGTATATATATATATATATATATATATCCTGTAGTGAAACATTAACAGCTTGAGTGTCTCTAATCAATACCTGGGCTCAGGACGGAGTTTATCATTTAAAGTATATCACCTTAATGTGGTTGTTTCTTCTGGTCCACTTTTCAGAAGGTTCTCTCGTATTTTGATAGGGGGCGTGGTACCTTTACTGGACCCTGAACATGAAACATTTGAATTCAATTTTGCATAAAACTATAATGTAATGTTATCATATGTCATCTCCCTTTTTTGCTCCCCAGCTTACGTAGATTTGGGTTTAGTTCTTGTCGAAGACTAAGAAAACTTGAACTTTGTAAATATTTCTTTGTATTTTCCGCTGCCCGTTTTACTCAGATCTCATGTGAAAAAGAGTTGTTTTTTTTTCTTAAACTTCTATTTTCCTGGTTGAGTAGCTGGTACGTGTCGACATGAACGGTGTCTTTAATGCAGTAAAGTAGTACTTTAGTAAGCAGTAACAGTAGGTTTTGTTGCCGCCCCTTTTCCAAGCCTCGTTGTTTGTGCATTAAAGAAAAGGCCGTAACGAGGAACTTGATTCATGACCTAGAATGGATCCCCTATCTACTTCCAGTTTCCTTCAAACTTGTGATTTGAGGAAAGATTAGCTAAGCATTACTTCACTTCAACGAAAAGAGTTGTGCGCATGACACTTTTTTTTTCTTTTTTTTCTTTTTTTTTTCTCCACGGTGTCCGCTTGCAGGTTATCTCTGTTGTCCTGCCTGAACTCCCGTCCTCCCATCTTTCACACATCTATATTCGGACGCTGTTGACACCATACAGTTTATCTAACCCACCCACAAACACACACACACACACACATACACACACACACACCTTGTGACTGGCCAGACAGGCCGACGGGTGTCATGAAATCTTTCCTCTCTGATGCAGCCTTCTGTCGAGCACATGCGTCATCTTGAGCTGATATCAGCTCCGTCTGCGTCTCAGCAGCTTCCTGATTTGTCGTTTAACCCATTTAGATTTAGACTGATAACTGAGCAGACACAAATGGCAAAAAAAAAAAAAGTTTGCTTTTTTTTGCAAGATTCATGTGATACTGTTTTTGAGTTTCAACCCTAAAACCATCGACTTCTTCGACGCACGCTTTGTTGCCGAGCTGGAACTGATCCGACACGACAGACAAGTTCGTCAGAGACGGTTCTTTTAATGAGTCTTTCAGACATTTACATCGGCCACAGAAATTCATATTTAACAAATCAGAGACATTAAATATACATAAGTTACACCCATTTGTTTCTCCCTTCAACAAGGATTCCTTTCACCTGACGCGTGAGAAAATAAATAATAAATACCATAAATAGGCTCCTCCCCCCTGAGGTGATGTACCAGACACCTTCAAAAAAACATTTACACAATCGCCAGTCCTTTTTATCGACACCGCGGTTGTTTCGGCGCCCCATGTTCTAAGGCCAGCCTCAGAAGAAGGGCGCGTTCAGCTCCGCCCTCCGGCACACTTGGCTCTTCACCGTCCGCAGCTCCTG